TAAATTGACGTTGTGTTTGCTGCTTGTGATTGTGTGGTACTATAGTTTTTCCAGAGTACCTGGATGGATGATGACAGGTAGAAAAGGAAATAGAGCAGCTTCTTGATCTACTGATGTAAATTAAATACTATTGCCTGTTAACTTAATCAGCTGTGCTCTTTTTTCTCTCTTTGATTTTTTGTTCCTTATTTCTCTTAATTTTCAATGAGTTTAGCTTTTCCATGATTTATCTGAATTCAAGAGATTAGGAATTAATCATAGAAGTTGTGTCATAAATAGAATCTATGTATATATATATATATATATAGGGTCACGCTCCGGTGAGAATGACTCTTAATGCGAGAAATGAGAATAAATCGTAACCATTGGATCCGATGATCTAATGGATACAAAAATTTCAGCATTTATTTATTCATTAAGGGTATATTTGACATCTTAAAAATTAATGCCAACTAACACTAACCCACAGCCAATAGTTTTCTGACACGTGGCTAATACACCTCACCATCCCACCCACTCTTTATCTCTCACACACTCACACACACTATACAAACACAGAACACACACGCCCCCGCACAAAAAACACGCACCCACACGCACTTCATCTCCCCGCCTCCGACAACCCGCCTGCACAACACCCAACGCCGCCGCATCCATTGGGAACGACACACGCCGACACTCCTCACTGCAACAATCTCCCCGCCGGCGCCGACGACGGCCAAATCGTTTGTCAAGCTCCCCGCCGGCAGTCCTCCTTGCGACAATCTCTTCCGCCGGCACCAACGACGGCCAAATCCATTGTCAAAATTCCCGCCGGCACTCCTCACTGCGACAATATTCCCGTCGGTGCCGAAGAGAGATACCCTCCACCGCTGCGTGTCGCCATTGAACAACTCCGCCCGCCGCCGTGAAATCGCCGTGATTCTCGCGGCTGGCGTCGTTCAACGTCTCCTGAAGCTCAATCCACACCCTCGTCGACGAGATAGGTGGCGTTGCGGGCGATTTGAAAACCTGGAATTCATCTTTGACATTGGGCATATGCTTTGAGAATTTAATTATGTACAGGGACCCCTTTGCAATTTTATAATTTTAATTTTATTTCAATTTAACCCATTGGGTCAAATCTGTAATTATTGAAAATTAATAAAGAATTCTTTTTTATATATTTTGATATACACATATACTAAATAATAATTTATTAATTAAAATAATATAAAATATTAAAATAATTTAAAAATAACTTATAACAATAAATAAATTATATAATAAAAATAATAAATAAAAAATAAAATAATTAGATTTACAATTATATCTATTAAAAATAGTTATTGTATACACAAATTTATATAGGAAATTATATACTAGTGCACTTTATATATCGAAACGTTGCACTCTGTAAAACAACACGCCGCACTGTGTTAAACAACAAGTTGCACTTTATCATTACACTCTACAATTGAAATAATGTAAAATATTAAAATGATATTAAAATAAGTTTATTATATAAGTAAATTATATAATAACAATATTAAATAAAAATATATTTTAATGATTTAAGTTAATGCAGTGTACAGTTATATCAATTAAATAGTTTCCGTATACACATAATTTATATGTGAGGGTAGATAAATTAAAGCACGTTATATAGCAGAATGTTGCACTTTATAAACAGCACTTGCACGTTATAAGACTGCACGTTGCACTTTACCTACACACTCCAAAATTAATGTCACGTCTAAAAAAGTAGATCTACATAATTGCACTTTATATATCAATATATTGCACTTTATACAATAATACATTGCACTTTATAACACGAATATTGTAACTAATATATATGTTTTTATAAAAATAAAAAATTGTACGTTAATGTCTTCCAGAATGCACTTTAGCGTTAGACGTGATGCACGTTACTTACTGTCGGATTGCACTTTAGCGATTGAATTAATTTTTTTTTATTTTTTTTGTTGTGTTCGAAAGTTATATCGGGTCGATTATATGTGTTATCTTTAAAATTTTTATTAATTCGGTTCAATATCAAGTTTTTTTTTTTCAATACACGAAATAACCGGACCGGTCAAAACCATATAAAAAAATACTATTCTTATATATATATTTTTCCATAATAATATTATTTTTCAATCAATATAAATAAAATATTATGTAAAAATATTAATGTGCAATTTACATAACATAAATGTGCAACTTAATTATTATAATGTGCCATTTACATAGATTAATGTGTAAGTAATTAAATTTTCATAAATTATCAATTTGCCCCAAATTTTCAAAAAAATCCCCAAATCTTAAAATGCTGTGTCGGTTATCTTCTTCCTTTTTGCCGGCGAAGGTTGGGCGGAGCTTTGCCGGCGACTGACGTAGTGGCGGCGGGCGATGGTCGGCACGGCAGGCGGTGGTAGTTCTCACCATCGGAGACCTGCAACTTCGCTGGTACTTGTCGTGGCGGAGATGGCGTGAACCGGTATCGGTGGTGGCAGGTGGCGACGCGAGGGACGCTGTTGGCGGCGACGTTGGTGGTGTGGCTTGTGGCGGCGACGGGATGACTGTTGTGACTGGAAGAAGGTGGCGGACGGCGGAGGCTGGTGGCGGAGGCGATGCGAGACGATGCTGCTGTGGCCAGACGGTGGAGCGAGGCTGCGAACTGGTTGTGGAAGGCGGAGGTGTGGTGGAGGTTTGACGGCGGCGGCGGTTGCTGTGGCCGTCTACGTCGGAACTCTCGCCGTGGACTCTAGACGAGTCGCCGGAATCGTTGGAAGGTGGCGGCATCGGGTATGCCGACGGCGGCGACATAACCGGCGGACTTGATGTGGTGGTCAGATTTGTCGCCGTGAAGGGAGGGAGGATGGTCAGATTTGTCGCCGTGAAGGGAGGGAGGAGTAGAGAGGAGAGAGGAGAGAGGAGAGAGGAGAGAGAAGAGGGAGGTGTGTTTTTTGAGTGGGTCCCACTGATTTTGTGGTTAGGTGAAACTACACAAATGCCCTCCCAGATATTTATTTGCCCATGTGATGATTATATAATTACAATTTTGCCATTCCAAATTTGACTTTGCAACTCAATTTGACTTCATCATGTCCATTGATCGTACCGATCCAATGATATATAATCATTCTCATTTCTCGCATTAAGAGTCATTCTCATATGATCCTTTCTCTATATATATATATATATATAAAGGTTTGATTATTTTTTAAATAGAAATTATTTCTCTCTGAAAAAAAAAAATGTATTTACTACGTTGGAAAATTAATTTAGCAATTTATGGTATACTTTAAATAATCAGTTATGCAAATTGCGGCTCATTATTTAGAGAAATAATTAAACCATATAAAAACACATTTTTAAATTACTCAAATTAATTTAACAATTTATGGTATATTCAAATAATCACTTATAGTGAATTCATTTTTAAGATACCTTAATTACTCAAATCATATGAATTGGTTGATTTATCCAAATATGAGAATTTCGGCTGCATTATCATTTATGTGATTTGGTAAAAAATTTCAACTAAATTGTATAATTTATTATTTGATAAGTGTTTTATATTTTTCGTGTAATTATTTTATAAAATACATTTTTAATATACATTAATTACGCAAATTGTGTAAATCCGATTGATTTATTCAATCTGTAAGTAATTACTACAATTATAGAAAAATCGACAACATTGATTAATTATGCAGTTTGCAAAAAACTGTTTTAGAAAAAATTGTGTTAATGACAAATTTTATTTACATATTATTTAATAAATGTTATTCATTTTTTGTGTATTTAATTGCTCAAATCGTGGATAATTAAGGAAATAATTTGACCGTAAAAATTTATATTTTTAAGATATCCTAATTACGCAGATCGTATAAATTCGGTTGATTTATTTAATTATAATTTTTTATAAAATTATTCTAAAATAATTGTGTTATTGGTAGTTTCTATTTAATTATTTTTTAATAACTATTTTTGGGTATTTTTTTTATTTTTACCAATAATAAATGTGTTGTACGTTGTGCAATTAATTTCGTGGTTAAATTGAATATTATTTTTTTTTTATATTTTATCACTAAAGTATAAAATCGAATTATTTGGTATATTATATATTGATCCAATATATCCGCTTATGGCAATAAATAGTATCTCATTATTTTTTTTTTCATATTACTAAACATTTTACTCGATATTAATGAAAGAAAAACTTGGATAATACTATGGCCGATTCTTCTTTATAAATGTGCGTGGAACATATCAAATTATTTGGTGTGTGTGTGTGTGTATACGTATAAAGGTTTGTTATTACTTCAATCACATTGTAGTCAAATTGAATTTTTGAATAAAAATTTAAAAATGACACCTATTTAAAAATGAATATAATGTAACTTATTATAAGTTATTTGCACCGTGTCGTGTACTAATTTTAAATAGATATGTTTTATATAATTTCGCACAATTTAAATTTCATATAACATTTTCAACAAATTAATATAGGTAAATCGTATTATATTGATTCCATATTTCTAATTTATAAATATTATTTAATGACCATTTATAATTTATAAATATTAATGAATATTTTTACCTGTGCATCGCACGTGATTTGTACTAGTTAGAAGAACATGCACGTGGTATTAAATTTAGGAAACACATATAAAGGTTAAGATAAATATTTTTTTATTTTAATTTTCCAAACACTATTTTTAAGAAATTATATCATTGCAATGTTATTTAAAAGTATATTTTTGTGTAATAATGAATTAAGATACTTATTTAATAATATTAATTTAACATGTGTACTATTAAAATAGTAGGTAGGTGAGGTGATGCAGCTCATCACCCATTTGATAAATCTCTGATGGAATCTCATTTAATTTTACTCATTATTTGGTCCACAC